AGGTTTCGTCACACAGCTGAATCCTCTATCTCAGTGTTTCTCAAACTTAGCAACTTTAAGATGTGTGGCTGGGGAATTCTGGGAGTTGAAGTCCATATATCTTAAAGTTGCCAAGTTTGAGAAACACTGCTCTATCTTGACATTTTTTAAACTTACACACAAATCCCAGGACAACCCTGCTTCTATGCACACCTTGCATTGCATATGAATCACAGTCTTTACTTCTGAACCAAACCAAGTGTTCTCTATTCTTTCTTGAGTAAGAGGGGATTTGGTAGCCTTCTCCCTTTCTTGTCAATGATCAGGGACAATGTGCAAGTCCAAAAGGATATGGTGAACAGATGAGCAGAAGAGAAGCCACCATGCTCAGAAGCCACATATAAGCATCCAGGTATCCCCAGGTTTCTGAGTTGTGACAAATGTCTCTGGGTCTCAGAAAGAAGGAGAGGCTTAAGAAGGCATATGTCCTTTTTAAAAAAGATTCTCTCCCAACTCAATCAGAGTTTTATATGTCACATTTGAAAACAAAATCCTTCATTAGGAAAAAAATAAATAAAATAAAATGCCCTATGCTCATTTAATCAAGAAAAGGGAGGAGCCGACTCCATGTAGTTCATATTCTTCCCATCTTTGAACTTTTAATTTAAGTTATAATTCATGAATTTTCAATACCACAATCATTGTTTCCATGGCAATAAATTGATGTCATGAACACAGCATTAAGACGGACCACAAAAATGAAACAGAAGGGGAAGTGCAACTGTGAAAGAGAATGTGTGCAAAGGCAGAACATTTTGAAGATGAGAAATGACTCTTTACACTTACCCTTCAAAAGGAATGGAGGATTTCACTTTTCCATCTCCACTCAAATAAGATATTCTGTGGTTTGTCAAGGAACTAAAAAAATGGCCAGTATAGCTTTCTCCAATCTGTTACTTCCAGATGTGTTAGATTACTATCTCCCATGATATCTGGAGATGACAGCAGTAAGACATCTGGAGGACAGCTTATTGCAGAAGACTGAGACAGACCTGAAGCTGTCTGAGTCCAAACTAGTCCCATCAGCAGTATAAGAATCTCTGTTCTTATTTGATTTTTATTCTACCTTTTCTATATAGAATCCCAAAAGCTAGACACGCTGTTCTTATCCATCATTGTATAGCGTGCTGCAGTCTTGCATGATAGGTTTACAGTGAGAGACAGCATTTAGCCCAAAGTTTTCCTTACTCTCTTCAGGAATGGTTAAAACCATTTTGCTAGTTGAGGCAAAGGAAAAGTTGATGCTCTTCACCCATCTCATATTTATAAGGTGACCAGACTGCCAGTCTTACTTTAATACAGATGATATGCTGGTGTCCTCACCATGCCCAAGGACAGGCCAGTTAAGAAAAGTAGAACATGTTCAGGGTACATACAGTCCTGTCTTCTAATTAAGCAGACTGACAAGAAGAAAGTTCGGAAGGAGCAAAAGTGATTTTTTGCCGGGCAGGGGTGGTGGTGTTTCACTGTGCCTAATGATAGGCCAGCTTTGCTCCCCTTCCTAACCTCACTCAGATATCTCACCATTTATTTCCTAATTGCTACCCAAGGAATCATCCCATCACCACTTTATTAGTTAACTGCTCTTGAATAAGTTGACTATGTGTTGCTTGCAGAAGAAATTTGGTATTATCAGAAAATGTATCATCTTTTGTCCAGTAACTTTAGTTTCTTTCACAGCCACTGCCCTACTAAATTTCTATAATTGGCACATTTTCAACCCTAGATTTCTCTAATACCATTTTAATTTCCATGAAAACAGCATTGCACACCTATTTCCAAGCACAGAGTTATATAATAAAGCTGAATGGTGGGAAATTGAAAATAGATTTGAATTCTTGAGATGCCTGTGATATCAGAAATAGCATGCAAATTATAGGGGTGTTTTGAAGTCAAACTCTTGAGTGCTCCCAGAATAGTTGGAAAAGCCCTCTTTTAAGCTCAAAGCACCTGTTTCAAACTAAAACATGGCCATTTCAAACTTCAAACTTGCCCAGAATGGCTAGAACTCAAAGCTGGGCATTTTAAACTTAAAACCTTTTGAATTCAAAATGTGCTCTGTGCACATCCAGTAAATCAATTAAATAAAACAGAGTTAAATTTGCTACCACAAGATGAAGTAATGGCCACCGATATGGCAGTATTAGAATGGGATTAGATTAATAGAGAATAGAAAAACATCAGTGGCTACTAGCCATGATAGTTATATATTTCCTTCAGCATCAGAGGCACTGCACCTCTGTGTGCCAATTTCTGAGGAAAAGTTTTCTGTAAACAGCCCAGAGTCACTTTTTAATGAGATGGGTGGTAACAAATGTTATATATTAATTAATATAGGATGGTATTGTGTTCATGTCCTATTTGTGTACTTTCCATAGTTTCCAAGTTGGCCACTGTAGGAGCAAAATGCAGGACTGGTTTGAGGTTCTTATATTCCAATTATACTGAGAGTCTATCATATGCTAATTCCACCCATTGCATATAGGAGAACGTGGATGTCCCAGAAAAATAATTCTCCAAGTAGAGAAAAAAAGTAAATTATTTCATAAATATAATCCTTTTTTTCTTAAAAGAAAATATCAGCCTTGTAATCTATTGAGAAATAATCTCATTGAACTCTATTGATAGTTATCAGAACATAGAGGGCAAATACTATGCAGGTAAGATTTTGTATTATCAACAACTCAGTAATATTTTTAAAAATAGTCCTCTTCTGAATATATTTGTTGCCCATCCTTTTCCAAGATTTCTATTCTCTTACATCATTCCCCAAACATCAAGCCAAATGTCTGAAAGTTCAAATTTCATCTTAACCCCAGCTTCCGATATCTAAACCTGTGACTGGACTGTGTTCATATATTCTCATTGAAATAAGAGTTACTTAAGAACAGGGATAGATATTAAGAATTTCTGTCTTTTAATTATTTCAAAGCAAAGAGGTAAAACAGATATTAAATGGGGTATCTCTGATTGGTTGTCCCAACTCTAAAACCAGATTGTGGGTAGAAGAAGGACTAATTTGATCAAACAAGCAATGCTAGGGGAAGAATCCATGCTATTTTCCCCATTTAAATCAGATGGGCCCTTCAAGCTACTATCAGACAGATTCCTAGGAACAGAAAAAGGCTTGTCATCTTTTAGGTATCACTCTGTTTCTTCACTTCATGATCTACATTTACCATAATTATTCAGACATTTCACCTAGGCATCTTGCACTCTATTTCTTGGTCACACTACACTGGAGAGAATATTTGGCACTAGATAGATAATTTTTAAAAATTACCTTTGCATAGGCAAGACATGATCCACAGGTCGTGCTTCACACCATGGGCTTTTTGGTCGCTCTGCATATAAAACTGATGACTGGCAGTGTAATGTCAGAGGAGAGATGTGACCAGGACTGGACCACAACATGCTTGGACTCGCCGCCTGCCTTAGAGTGGCATTTTCTGAATCGCTGAAATTGCCCGGAATGTTATAATTCATCATCGAGGGACTGTAGAAAGCCATGGCAGAGTAGTCATGTCTGTTCTCCATGTAAGAGGACGGAATGTAAATCGGACTATGCTCGACAGTCAGAGCAGCTTGGCTGCAGCTGAATGGGATGGGAGAGCTCTGCTCAGAGATGGCGCTTTTTGCTTCTATTTTACTACATCCAAGATCTTGAATCGGTGGCAAATGAGAACATTCCTTGTGAGACGATGCACAGAGGGACATGCTGGAGTGAGATGGATGCCAAATGTCTCTTTCTTAATCAGTCATCCCCCAAAATTTAATCTGGAAAATAGTAAAACTAAGGCTACAAAAATACTGTTTTAAAAAAAGAAAATCCCTACCCCCCACCCTGCTTCCTGGCTGCATATCTCTGGGGCAAAAATATTAACAGCTGCAGTTTTAGCAGATGGATGAGTACCGAAACAGTCCTGCTCAAACAGAAAAACTGTGGGGACAGAGAGATCCACTGCATGTGGGTGGGAAGGGCAATTCTCTTGAAACCTCCCATTCATCTAAATCAGGGGTGGGTAACCTGAGGCTTCAGGGCCAGGTCTTGAAGAGTCTTCCAAAAACAACTGGCAAAACTCAGCAGCATGGTGTCCCCCCAGTTTGAAGCTGGAAGCTCAAAAAAACCAAAGCATCAATAGCAACATAAGATTAAAAAACAAAAATAGTCCAGCACTCCCAGCCCAAAACTCATTAACAAAAAATAAAAAAATCCTTGCTCTGCCTACATGCACGCATGACATGACCCAGCCCAGTTTAGATCATTGCCCCCTAACCATGTGGCTTTTGTCCTTTAAAAAGAAGCGAGGCTTCCAGGCTTCTAAAGGTTGCTCACCTCCAATCAAAATAATCCAATAAATAGTGACTAATACTGTTTAGCTGGGGGAGGGGACAACTTTCACACTGAGCACCAAAATATGCTATTGCTTGTGTTATGTCACAAAGGAATTCACAGAAGTTCTTCCATGATCCATCCTATGGTCAGTTGAACCATGCTGCACATTTCCAGGACAGAGATACCTTACACTGCCCATGGTCATTTCTGGTCTGGAAAACTACAGGTTAAATTATTGCAATGCTTCTCCAGCCCTTAGGCATTTTGCTACCTGAGATGAAGGGCAAGCTGCCATTTTCACTTCATGTACAAGTTACAAAAGTCAACCCAACTGGCAGTTGAATTGTACTCAAATGCCAATGATGGGACAGTGACCATGATTACACTTGAAAGTAGTAAGTTACTTTAGGTGAAACAGGGCAGACTACTCCCCTAACCTTCCCTAATGGCACCCCTAGATTTTGGCTGGGTTACTTACTGGAACTGCTCAGGAAACATAATTTCACTGGGGGGGTGTTTCTATATCTTTGATCACAGTTCAAAGTGATCATCTTTTAACTCCTGCTTTTAAAGCTCTATACTGTATAATGGAACGAGCAACTCTTTTCTCCTCATGGGACTGAATATTTATTTGTTTGCCTCTGAGAATAACAAAAAGCCTGACAATAATGCCATGATGGTACCAAACTGGGTGGGCCAAGCATTTTTTTACCCTTTTTTAAACTTGTTTTCTGGTGAGATTGTGTTAATATATTGGGGGGGGGGGATTTTAAAATCCTAGTCAAAGACTGCCAATTTGTTGCTACATTTCCATGGCACAATGATTAGGGGTTTGCGGGGGGGCTGCATAGAATCCAACAGGCTGCAGCACTTGACATGGGTTCCTAAGAGAATACCTGCTCATAGAAGAGAATATATATAGCTCAGGGTTGAACTGTGGAGTCTTCCATGGAATATCTTCTGCCTACTACACCATGATCTTCTGGGTTTTTCCTCCAGTAGATGTAAATGTTACCAGAAAATGTTGAGCTTTATATAAGTATTGGTTGATTGCACTGTATATAAATATGTACACTACTTGTTATTCTTCAAAGAGGCATAATAAATCACATAAATAAAATAGTTTTCATATGATTTGGTACCTATCCTGAGAGTACCCCTTCTGAAGTTTAGAATACAAATCTTCTAAAGTAGATCAGAGATCAGCAGGTGGCATAATTGGGCAATAGACCCCAACTGGAAGTAATGCTGGCTTCCTCTTTTCACCACCAACACCAACACCCTCCCCATTCTATTGTTAAAAAAAAAAAAATCTGTTTTTCAGTTCTTGCCTTGTCCATCAACTTTCTTCTTTTTAAATGGCTCTGGGCCCCTTTCCAGGATACCCCTTGGAGTCAGTCCCAGAGGCACTGAGAAGGAAGACAGTGCAGTAAGGTAGCAATACTCTGCTCAGCCAGCAGTGGAAAGGGGTAAGGTCATGCCATTAGAAGGGGAGAACAGAAGTGGTTGTGGCTTAGCACTAAGAGGTGAACAAGTTCTAAGGAGGTAAATTGCCAATTACAGTATTTAAAGCTTCCTAGTCCCTCAGTGGAACACTAGGGAAATAAACAAAAACAATGAAATGTGTGATAGGGCTCTGAGTAGCATAGGTAGTAGTATTCCTCCTCCAACATCCTCACTTGTTGAAGCCTACAAAGTCCTTCATGGCATAGGGCCAGGTTTGTAGGACCACCTGTCTCCAGTCATCTCTGCTTGTCCACAAGTTCTAGCCATATGGACATGCTCCAGATCCCCTCTAGTAAATCATGACATTTAATGGTACTCAGGAAGTATGCCTTCAGTATCATGACACTGACCCTCTGGAACAGCATAACCCCTGAGATTTGGATGGCCCCAACCCTGCTGGCTTTTTGTAAGGCACTGAAGATCTAGTCCTTCCCCTGGGACCAGATCTTGTGTCAAAGTGTTTGATGCGCCTGTCTGGATATTCCTGGTTGTATGTTTTTAAGTTGCTCTGAGTATGTGTTCTTTTAAATTGTTTTTCTTTATTGTTGCTTATTTTATTATTGTTAGCCATCTGTGTGTGTCAAGTGGATGGCCATCTGTGAGAGGATACCATGGAGAGCCAACAGCCACAACAAACCTGGAGTTGGCTTCAGTTTAAACAATAATTAGGACAGCTAAAAGAGCGTCTATCTCAGTGTTGTCCAAACTTGGCCACTTTAAGATGAGTGGACTTCAACTCCCAGAATTCCCCAGCCAGCCAAACCGGCCTGGGGATTTTGGGGGTTGGAGTGCAATCATTTTTAAGTGGGCAAAGTTTGGCAAAACTGAGTTAGACGGT